ACCCTGCACCAACCAGACCCTGCACCACTGAGCACCAACTCACATCGGCGTCGCTCACCATGCAAAAGAAGCGGATGTGCTCGGCCACCGTGAGCTCGTCGAAGAGGACGTCGTGCTGCGGACAGATGCCCAGGGACGAGCGCACCTCGTCCGTATCCGTCCGGATGTCGTAGCCGTTGATGAGGGCCGTGCCCCACGAGGCCGGGAACAGGCCTGGCAAACAGTGATGGAGCTGCAGGCGCAGCGGAAGCCGGTGTGGGAGGAGGAACGGCAGGCTGTGCTGTGCTGAGTTAGGGGTGCGGGGGGGAGGGGGACGGGGGTGGGCTCTGGGATGTTCACTGGTGTTTTTTTTATAGAAAGACGTGAAGCTTATAGACGTGAAGCTTACGTGTGCCGTTGAAAGCGCACTCTGAACGGATGTGTCAGACGCACATGGTAATGGGATTTCATGAAAGTATCAGTATTGGTAGTGTTTGTCGGTGCGAGCGTGCTGAAAGGGGACCACTGGTGAATGGCATAAAATATCCGACCTATTAACTGGTCTTGAAAGAGGCGTACAAGTTGCTGAAAATATTAATCTGGGTAGGAAATCAGTTACCGAAGTTACATACAATGCCAGGAAAAAATCACCAGAGAATCGAGAGGATCTACTGCGGTGTAAAACAGACACATCGTCAAGTGACAGCGTTGTAATTACAGACAAAAAGCATAAGTACAATGAATAGACATGATATTGTTGCCCCAATAATGTTATAATGGCTTGCCTGAAGCCCACGCACCAATGCAGGTTCCGCAGGCTGAGGCAGTATCATAATGCAGCTGAAAGCATAGATCACTGGTGAAAAACAGTTGTCTGCTGCCAGGCCCACTAGCTGATGGGTTCGGCGTACTCTCAAAGAGCACAGCATTCCCATGAATCAATAGCATCACCTAAGCGCTCAGCGATCAGCATTGACCCTTGCTGACGTGGCGACAAGTAAAAAAAACGCCACAGACCGCGGTCGAGAGGTCACCCACCGACGAGCATGGACATAGTGGTGGTCTTGCCGGCGCCGTTGTGCCCCAGCAGGGCGGTGATCTGGCCCTCGTACATGTTCAGACTCATGTGGTCGACGGCCATCTTGCCGTTCGAGAACACCTGGAGGGAGAGAGAAGGCTCCGATCAATAGGTCATGATCGGCGCCGGCGGTGGATGTTATTGAGCTTGGCGGCGGTAACAGCCCAAGATGTAAACGCTGGGTCGTAGCGGCAGTTCTTTGTGTGGGTTATTCGTAGCAGCGGAGTCGAAGGGTTTTGACAGCGGTGGGAGCGAGACACGGCGCCTGGCCAGAACGTTGCTTGAAGTAATCGCGCGTGGCCCTAATGAAATATTCGACGCCTGGCCAGAACGCTGCTTGAAGTAATGACGCCTGGCCCTAATGAAGTATTCGGCGCCTGGCCAGAACGTTGCGTGACCGGGCTTTGACAGACAGCGTCCTCCGAAAACGGCGACCCGGGTTCGGCTGCCTGGTGTACAAAACCCGATGCCACGCACTCATACGAATCAGGCAATCCCCGTGTACGCATGCGGCAACGGATCTGTATTGCGTACACAAGGATGTTGGCGACGCAGCGTCGGTCAGCGTGCCGGGCGTGATCCACCTTTCATCACCAGTGTCGGGTCTGCGCTCTGATGATGTTGCGCGCATGCGCACATTTGAGGCACCCCTGTTCTGCATCTCAAATTTGTTATCGCAACGCAGGCAGGGCCTACGTCGCCAATCTCAGCCCGATGTATGGTCGGGTGGGGTCTTGTCACACAAATCGGATAGATAAACTAATCGTGGCCTGGCTTGGATTATGTGAGCTATGCGTCTCAGGGTTAGCAGTCGAAATACATATGCTTTTGCTACTGACCCATTAAAAGTTACACACATGCCTTGCACTTGACGACAGTATGAGACGTCGACCCAAACCACAGACATGACATGCAGCCATTATGCTGTTTTGGTGGTATGACATTGGAAAACTGGGAACTCTGGGCTTGGTCACTGCCGTCAGGCTAATCTACCTTCAAAACCTTCTCATATTGGAACCTGGTCCTAGACATGACTGGGAACCCTCTGGTCCCGATCGCTGAGGTGCGTCACACATCACAGCATCTAACCTCAAAAACATTCCTGATGCCATATTTTGCCACGCTTAGCCTCGAAGCCGCCCACGAATCGTAACGCCACCTCCGCACGCCTGATGCTAATTTTTTTTTAACTTCGTTCCAACGTTATAATTTGATTATTCTGATATTAGAGTTCACTCCAAGTAAGACTTGTTATGTGAGTCCTGAATCCCTCCCCCTTCAGATAATGGAATTCTAATTCAAGGGTATCATTTGTGGCGAAAGTATAGCCTTTTGCAATATTCGGCACGTGCCTCTCCTTCCCCTGGCATTATGTGACCTTGAAACACCGCTGCTATCCAACTGCAAATAGTGAGTGGGACTCACTGTTCGAACGAAATCGACTCGAACTTACCCATGGAGCGCGTGGAAGCGACTTAAACTCACCTAACCCCACCATGGGTAGATTGGGAGGCAGGTGCTCTAACCGACTGATCCACCCGGCAAGCCTCGCACAAATTCGTGACGTCATTTCATGACGGCCGACCTGCCCACTGAGAACCCTGGCTGACCTTGACCTGACCTCTGACCGGCCCCTGACCTTGGAGAGCTCGCGGATCTGGACGCCGGCCTTGATGTCAGTGGGCTCGTGCTCGAAGAAGTCCGCCCGGATGGTGTTGTTGTTGGCGACCGTCGGCGTCACCTCGCTGGGGGCCGAGCCCATCCAGTAGTGGCTCTGACGGGGGATGAGGCGGCGCTCGGGTCACCTCAGACATCGTGCATTGTCCAGTGTCAATCGCTGTGGCAGTGATCATCTGCGTGTCTGGGACGCCTTGTGATCAGCTCCTGAGTGAGGGACAGCAATCGCTAGGGCATGCTGTGACAGCCTCGTACCGACACCCTGACGACCGCCGACATGGCCACCTTGCAAGGCGGCGCGCGTGCAGCCCGCAGGCGCCACCGTGTAAAAGCGCCAACTCCTGGACAATGCTGCTTACACCAGAAAACGGCATATATATATAGATATGCGTATATATGTGTGCATATATATATATATATATATATATGTATATATGCGTATATATACACACACATATATATATATACATGTGTGTGTGTGTGTGTTGTTTCCGTATATTCAAACTTTTAAAGGATATCTTATTCGGGCGGCTTGCGTCATGATCGGCGGGCCTAGAAACGTTTGCTCCATGCCCTCTGCCCTGTTGTCCGTTTCCTGCTTCCTTTTTCCCGTTTTCCGTTTCTATGCACAACAAATCGCCGATTTGAACGGAGAGTATTGGTTTATGCCCCTTCCCAAATATTTCGGACAAGGAGGGTTATGAACGCAAAGAGAATTTCTCACCCGACAGCTCAGTGACAACTTACGCAGTTACATCGAGAATTACCCGAGGCTTCGGACGTTTCCACTGGTTCAGTTTCAGTCTCCAAAGCCCTATGTAGAGACATAGACGTCTTCCATCCCAAGCATTGACCG